TCGGGAACTTCACCTTCAGGTGAAGAAAAGCTTTAACTCTGTTGAGTTTTATCAATTGCCTCTTTAGCTTTAGCAATCTCAACGTTAAGGTCAAAACTCTCCTATGTGGCCTCTATTAGAGTCTCTAGGTGATTATTCAATAAAGCTCAAATCACGTCAAGGATAGCTTATCCTTGAGAGCCTCATAGACTTTCTCCCACTGATCAATCTCGGCTCTCAACTCTTCCTTCTCTATTTTGGAGGCATCAAAAGCTGTCTTCAAAGGGGTAAGGGAACTTTCCAAGAATTTAACTTATCAGTAGAGGCACAGAGATCTTCTTGAGTTTGAGTAAGTGTTTGAACTAACTCTCCTGCATAAGTCTCTTTCTGGTCATGGAGTTCCCTCAAACTCCTTATCTCTTTGGTTGCCTTCGAAAGTTGCTCAGCAAATGAGGACTCAAGTATATCCTTGTCCTTACCAACTTGACTTGAAGAAGCCTTCTCAATCGCTAACTCAACAGTGACCATCTGCATTTATTGTTCTAAGGAATCCTTCTCCTCTACCAACACTTCCATCTCCAATTGAAAACCTTCAAATTACTCTTTCCAATTGTCAGCCTCAGTGCGATAATCAATAATTTGTTGGTCAGCATGGACGATCCTTTTCATGAGTTCCGTACCGATCAAATTGATCATACAAAAAAGCGGTTATGGATAAAATGAAAAGAAAAGAAAGAAGAAGTAGAGTCAAATTCAAACTTTTAGAGATGAGTGAACAATATCATTCATCCAAGTCAATGAACTATGACTCTCCAACTTCACCTTCTCCATAGGACCGAGCAAAGGCTTCAACCATACATTGACTTGACCCGACTTCTTCAATAAGTTCCCACCTTCAAGAACCTCGACAACAATTTTCTTCATCAATTTCTTACTACTAGAAGGATCAACTTCTATATGAGAAGTAGAAGCAACTGGAATGGCCGATAAGGTAGAAGCAGTCACGGGGGTAACATCGGCAGCAACTTCATGTAAGGGAACTCGGGGATGAACGGGGACTGACATTTGAAATGAGGTAAGGGAAACTCCTCAGAAATGGGTTCAAAGGCTTCATCACTTTTGAAGCCAAGAGTAAATAATTGTTTAGCAGAAGCATGGGGGTCATTCACTTCTTCATTAGAGATCACTAATTGGGCACTCTGGCTCATCCAAAAGTCTAGAGGGAACTGAGCTTGATGGAGGGGTAGCTTCATCATCAAAAATAATGTGCCTCTTGACTCGAGGTCTACGAACTAAAAACCCATCATCTAGTTCTTCTTCACCCTCAGAGCCACGGGCTCCATCAACTTTCCTTTTTGAAGAAGAGATCAAAATTCTCTCTTGAGCAAGAGTCACAGAAAGTCTTGTGGATGAAAAAGAAACAGGACTGACACCATGAATAGGGAACCCTAGCAAAGGAAAACGACATGGTAAGAAACTCTTAAGTTAGCAAAAGAGAGAAATAAAAAGACTACGCGGGAAAAAGTACCATGTGTCTTTACTTTTCAGCCGAACCTCTGTGAGGTATATTTCCAATATTAGGGGCAACAGATAGTAGCTTCTCTACCCAAGCACGGAAGTTAGGAATCTCCCCAAAAACTTCCATGGATGCTGAAAAAGTAGGAACGAGAATACATGAGTATCTTTTTTTAGAAAGGAAAAAGACAAGGTAGAAATACTTACGTGCAAAATTTTATTTTTCTGGAAAAGGCATGTTTTCTTCACCCACCAAAGCACTAGTAGGAGCAGCAAAGAAGCGGACATACTAGCCACAGTCTCTGTCATCTTCAGGGCTAACTAATACCCTCTTACTTCTGGCCACAAAGGAAAAAACTCCTTCACGAAATAATTAGGGAAGTAAAGATGAAGCAATTGACAGAAAGTAAAAGGCATAGAGGCCAAGCTCGACAAATAACAGAGGCATGCAGCAGCTCTCCAAACAATAGGACCAATCTGTCCCAAGCATATATTGAAGTAATGGCAGAATTCAATGATCACTGGATCAATAAGAGGTTTAAATCCTAAGGTAAAGGGATATGTGTATACAAGGGAATAACTAGTCTGGTATGAAGTTATTCTCTGGTTGGCACCAGGAACTAAAATTGGGAAATCAGGTTTCCAGTAACATTCTCTTCGAACAAGGGCAAGAAGACCAGTAGTAAACAATGTTGGGTAACGGTCAGCACGATCAAGGGAATATAAGGAAGAAACTTGACTCTTCATAGATTTACGATCAGTTACAAACAAAAACTCTTGAGGAACAATAGTGACTGTGGGTTCACGTATAGTTTCAATTGAATTTTTAGCTCTAGAAGAAGATCTTAGGGTTATAGGAGCCCTAGCTCTAAAAGAAGACGGATTAATAGCACTACTTTGAGAGGGAGAACCACGGTTAGATATAGAACTAAGGCTACGTAGCCTGCCACCCCTTCTGCTTCTAGTGAGAGCATTAGAAGAAACAAACTCGTCAACAATTATAACTTTAAGGGGATCAAGAGAATACATGATTATCCTAAGAAGAATAAGGAAAAAATGCAGAAGATGGTAAAAGAAGAAGACGAAGGCGAGTATGAAAGAAGAAAGGCTTGAAGAAATCAAAAAAAAGGTGAAGTATTTATAAGAAGACACGACCATTAAGGTTATTATGAAGAGTCATAATGGAACCGTCACTTCGTGACTGATGCGGCTGCAGAAAAGCCCTAAAAGCGCTGAGGAACTGAAGAACCAATTGGTAGAAGTCACATGGCATGATCATTAAATAGACGTGATATGCGTCACATCGGTTCAGAAGGAGGTATGATTGTATTTAAGAAAACGGTGGCAGTTAATTCCCGCCATGAAAACTTTCTACTTCCCCGAATATTCAGAAAAGTGGGGGGACTATCTGAATTGGTGGTGAAAAGGCGTTACACATGGAACAGGGAGAAACACACACGAGACGGTACGAAAAAGAGAACCGGGCCTAACAGTTCGCAAAGAATAGATGAGGACAAAATGAATAAAGAATAAAAATAAGGAAAGGTACATGAACCGGAAGTAAATAAGGAAGGTGAATCGGATTAGATATGAGGCATTTATAGCAATAAATACGCCATCAATAGATATCTGAGATAATGGGCAATCAATATCATTCATACCCGTAATCAATTCAAAAATGTGGGAAAAACCGTTACTATTGTACATTCCTATATAAGGGCACATAATTTTATTGGTAGGGACAGATCTGAAGTGATATTGAAATATACTCTTTACTTTTCTGTTTTGTCGAAATCTACCTTGACTTTGCAATTTGTTTATCAATTATTTCTTTAGTTATTCTTATTATTTTCATTTAATATCATTGTGAAAGTGAAGTAAAACTTGGTTATCAGTAACCCGTTTTCTTCTAAAATTAGGTTTTGATAAAAAAAAAATTATTTTTGGTTAAACACATACACAGGCAACAAAGAGTACATGGGTATTTAGAAGTCTAGGAAAGACAAAAATTTCAACTGCTGTCAATATAAAAATCGTTCTAGCCAAACAATATTAGTTTAAAATAAGTATTTATTGAGAAAACAAAAAAAAAACAATAGTTATTCTTTTCCCAAAGAAAATTGAAGGAGCTAAAATTGCTCCTAAACTATGCGAAGAGAGCACTTTTGCTCTTTACTGTTAAAAAATTGGTATTTTATTTTTTAAAAATTTTATTAACTAAATTTAGAAATAAGGGCAAATGTACCTCACTTTTGTAACGGTAGGGGCATAAAACAGCCAAAATTTTAACGGAAGACAAATATGGTCTTGAGCGAAAAGTACAAGGACAATTATGACCATTTTTCGATATTTTAGCGAGAAATTTACCTGGAATACAACAATAGAAAGAGATATTTATAAGAAATACAACCACTTTTAAAAATTACTTTATATACAATTTAGTACAACTTTTTAACTTTTTTTAAATTAGATGCAACTTTTAATATATCTGAAATATCTCATTATGGAACTTGAAAATAGGGATTATGCCAACTAACACATAATCCCTTAAATTTAAAATAATGTCACTGTTCTCTCTCACCGAATCCGTGTAGACCATTAACTTTCTAATATTATATTTTATATAGCATTATTATTTGTAAAGAACTATATCACATATATTTTTAATAAATATAATATATTAGTATACTCAAAATCAATACCCATATATTATATTAGCAATCAATGGTATATTATTAAGTATACGGTGGATATCGTATAACATATATATGTGCGTGCACGCGCCGCATGTGTGTTATATTATTCCTTTTCTATTATAGTATATCAATATTTAAATTTATATATATATACTGTATTGTTAGTATCGCAAAAATTAATAAATTGATTTCTCAAAACAATTATTTGGGTTTATATGTAAAAAATTTAGGAGAACATATCGGTTCTCTTGATAAAAAATTGGATGATTTGACTGATTTAATAAAGAAGATGAGTACTAACAAAGGACCAACCGATATTGCCTCCACTTCGGGAATCAAACCGATTGATCAAACAGTTCTTACTCATGTTCAAAGGCCTCCTGAGGTTCAAGATTTTAAATTCAAATCTCTTGATCACTTAGCAGACCTTCTTGATAAGAAACTTTCTGGTTTAAATATTAGACCAATTGATTTATCAAAAAAATTTCCTGATAAAATTGAGACTGTTTCCGATTACAAAACTGAAACGTGGTCAGAGCTTAATAAGCTAAGGGTTTAATTAAACCCAATAGTAAGTATGCCGACAAACCCCGGATGCAAACTTACTATTATTCCCGTCCTACTCCTCAAGATGTGTTAATAAAGGAACGCGATTGGAATCAGACTAATACGTCTTACAGCGGTTCCGAAATTTATGAATGGAATCTTGATGGCTTAACTGATAGACAGTTAACTATCCTTGTACATAGAATGCTTATGTACTCAACTATCTGTAAAAGTGTTAAGAACACCGATAGAACTATTTGCAAAATGATTATTGCAGGCTTTACTGGCCAGCTTCGTGGTTGGTGGGATAACTATCTATCTGTTGAAGAAAAGGCAACGGTTATTAATTCGAGCGTTGTTGACGAAGGGGTTGATAATATAGGCATGGCTCTAGTTAAAGGAAGAGAAAATGCTATTTATACCCTTATCCTTACAATTCTAGAATATTTTAACGGTAGATTTACCAATGGGCATGAGACCGTCCGTACTTTACTAAATGGTCTTAGATGTAGGACCCTTAGTGAATTTAGATGCTACAAAGATACTTTTATAAGTAGGGTTATGGAGCTACTCGAAAACAAATATGAACATTGGAAAGCTAAGTTTATAGACAACCTTCCCTCCTTATTCGCTGAAAGAGTAAGAAAAGCGTTAAGAGGTAGTTACGGTGAAATTCCGTATTGAAATTATACCTATGGTAAACTTATAGGTGTGTGTACACAAGAAGGATTATACTTGTGTAATGAGCTGAAGCTTGCTAGACAGCTTAAGATTGATAAGCTTAAAGAGAAATCTCAATTAGGTGACTTATGTACCCAGTTCGGTTTACCCGGAACCTCTACTCAAAGTAAGAAGAAGAAGAAGAAAAACAAATATCATAGATATCCTATCCCCAATAAAAGAGATCTGCTATCTAGATTATATGACGCCAATATATTTTCAAAATTCGATTTAAAATCTAGATATTGGCAAATTCAAATTTTTAAAGAGCATACTTATAGAACTGCTTTTAATGTTTCATTTGGTCAATATGAATGGAATGTCATGCCTTTTGGTTTAAAAAATGCCCCCTCTGAATTTCAGAAAATTATGAATGATATTTTTAACCCTTATCTAGATTTTATCATCGTTTATATTGATGACATATTAGTATTTTCTAAAACATTAGAGATGCATATTAAGCATCTTGATATTTTTAAGAAAATTATAATACAAAACGGTTTAG